TGTGCAGAGTGTGCAGCCCAAGGAGAATCATCCCACGGCAAAGTTTATTGTTTAGGGCATAGACTCACAGTAACAGGCTCACCTTTGCTGCATCTCACACCGCTTCACACGGTCATCTACTGTATCACCATGGTAATTTCTGTTGCACATTGCTGCTTGTTTAACGAAAGGCAGAAAACACACCGAGTTTCCAGGAATTACCATGGTGATACGGTACTTTAGCTTGAACCTATTGTATGACGGGTTTTCTATGATTCATAATGACCCAGGGAATAACTAACAGTTAGCGACGCAATTCTTCTGAGGTGTAAAGTGACTTCAGGAATATGTAGCAGAAAACTGCGATGCATGCTGATTATTTACTGTGCCCTATTGTGCACAATATACCAGGTGTGTTACTCAGGGATGAAGTAGATGCACACACGTGCCGTGCATCACGGCACAGGTTTTAGGTTTGCTACTAGCTGCTACAGTGTGCTTGTGGTCCGAACTTGCACTCTACTCAACTCTGCATACGCAAAGAGTGCTGGTGCCGAAATGAACCAGAAGGGTGCTGAGGGGGACGCAACAACACTGGCTCTGTATACCCATGTACACAGATATGATAGGGTATGTAGTATCTGTTCTAAGATTTCACACAAACTGGGTACACGTCTACCTGGCACAACTCCTGCAACACTGGGCAAGAGCCAGATGCGTTCAAGTGCGGCTACTGTGTGTCAGGGAGTCGTAAACTTACTTTCGACTTCCTGATGTACATGATTGTACATGTACATGACCCTTGTATGAACGTACTCGCACTGGGCACTCTGGCCGCACGCATCTGCACGCGTATGCAGCCTGTCAGTGGCGGTATACCCCTCGAAGTATAAAAAAAAAGTATAGTACTCGACAGGACTTCCGACCGGGTCGCAGGTAACCCAGTGTTCTTTTTCCAAAAGGTCCAAGTACTCACAAACAGGGCCACTGACCCGGCTCTGGAGCAGACACTGGTAATCTAGGTCCAAGTTTGCACGATTATGTTCTGACGCTTCATGTGCTTTCATAGCCAAGGTTTCTCACTTTCTTCGCAAGCTCTTTTAGTCTTGAGAGTTGACAACTGCTTATGGTTGTGTTGGCAGAAAACATGTCAGCTAGTCTGACAACCGTCCAACCCCATTTTACTGGTAAGTAGTCAGCGAGTGGCTTTGATGGGGCCATACTAGAGGGAAAGTTACGCGGCATATTTGTGCTTCCTTTTTGAAAACACGTTCTCGCTCGAAGGGTTTCTAAACTTTATCCCTGCGCTCATTGATGGAGTTGCCAGCGGCACTCTACAGAAGAACAATGTTGTCAAGTTTTTTTATGAAAAATTGTCAAACATTTTCAAATTGCTATAAGTTTGGTTAGGGCCGGGTTCCACTGCGGCTCTGCAGCTCCACGGTACTTGGCTGCATGCAGCAGAGCGGCGCGGTTACAGTGACACTCGCCATTCACGGTACCGCGATCGTGCTCGACGTTTTTTGATGACATTTAGCCTGCCTGCGCACGCGTGAAATCCAAAAAAATCCTCGTGTTCTGGCCTGTGAAACGAACTAAAATTCCCCCGAATAAAACAATTAAGTGCGGGAAACAATGCAAGCCGTGACCGCGGCTTGCATTTTTTTGTATCAAGCAGCGAAGCGAAAGCTGGTGATGAGCCGCTGACTCGCTGGACCAGCTCGTAATGATGACGTTTCATGCCGTGGATGATGTGCGGCGGAGCGGCAGTGGAACCCAGCCCTTAGGCAAAGGAAATTTGTCATTAATTTGTTTATGCTGCATAGATGGAGAGCTGCACACTCTGGCTTATGGACTCTCGCCTACAGTGTAGTCGTACTGCTAGTGTACTGGCATTACAGAAGACACGAAAAACGAGAACATAATTATGGCGAGAAAGTAATTACTGGCTAAGAATTGCCCTAAGACTTACCGCTTCTCAGTGCTCCATACCAGGAAGTAGTACAACACCTACTCCCTGCTCCATACGAGTGTTTTCTCCTCATTCTCTGCATCCTTTACCCCAGGAGTCTCGTCCATTTAGCGGCTCAAATGCTTGAGCTCCGGATAGCGGAAAATAGCTCGTCGTCCATTAGCGGCTCTAATAGTACCTGGTCTGAAGTGTCGCAGTCTAGCAACTATGATTTTTTCCAGGAGGGTAAGGGTTGCAAACCCAAAGAGACCCTAAGCTTCGTCTATCAAACAAAACAATTGCCCTAAAAAATGGAAGAGGAAAAGAGTGAGCGAGTTGGTCTGAGCGCGCTACTTTTCAAAAAATAGAAGCTGAAAGCCATCAAACTTTTCAAAGTCAACAAAGCATTCTGGCTAGCGCGTTTGTGTATGTCACGAGCGCTAGCGCGCTTGTCGCAGCAAACTCTCGCAGGCCAGAGTTAGCGCTATTTGGGCTGTTTGCCGCACGCGGCAGCTGGATGGATCACGTGATCCAAGCTGACGAATAAGGTCCGATGGTTCAGCTACATTGAGCCACAAGCATTCGGGATCGGTCAAGCATGATTTCAGACCTTCATGACGGTTCCGCTGTTGAATCGAGCGCAACAAACAATGAATGACGGATCCATGCCGTACATACACGGAATCAGTGGCAGAATCAATCGGTACTTGTGAAGCACTCTGTACAGTGTACTGTAGTTTTGAGCTGTGTTGCTCGCAGCGAGCTTGCACTCCATTCTGTCGTCCGATAAATAAAATGATCAGACCAGCAGGTCAGAGGAACAACCGTTGCCCTTGTGTCCGAAGCGGCTTGGCCCAGTTTTCTCCAAAAATCTAATGACTACACAAGGACTTTATTTTATAGGCCCACGCCGGTAGCTGCTGGGAGATTTGTCGGTCGCTGCCACCCACGTTCGCTAGCGCTGCTCGCCTGTGTTAGCAGTTAGGTCCGTGGAAAGCACGTCGTCCTTCACAGCATTTTGTCCCGGTCCTAGTTCTAACTGCGGAGAAACGTTTGGAGTCCTGCGGATCCGGAGGAGGTCGCGTAATAAAGCACTTTCAGCTCCGCACTCGGCACTCGTACCAGCGATCGCTCAGGGTCGGAACACCACACGGTTATTCGTCGCCGGTAAGCCTTTGACATAGTGTCTAGCCTCTAGCTTAGGCCTGCGAGGTTCACTTACCAAAATAGTTACCTATTGTCCACTACCGGTTTTGTCGGCTCAGCGCAGTCGATATTCGGTGCTATCTTTATCTTTCACTAGCACTGCTGCTATTAATTTTTCCCAATCGACCAAAAACTTGAAAAAAGTGAGTATTTGCGTTCTGCACTTGCCCTGCATCCGATCAGATACAAGTACTTCAAGGGGAAGTATACCCTAAAATCAAATTTTCACCAGTTGTAGTCTTCGGGGTGCTGAGTCGAATGGTCTTGGTCCCAGGAAGCTGAGACGCTCCCTTCCTACTTGAATCCCAATCGAACTCGCGCACTTCCACCGAAACTGGGTGACTGCGCCCTACTAGATGGGGATTTGTATGCAAAATCTCACTAAAAGCGCCATTTTGTTCTTATAAAAGCACGGATGACCGCGATTGGCCCATATGTTGTAGTCTTTTGGACGCTGAGTCGACTGGTTTTGGTCCGAAAAGGCTGCGATGTAGCGTTCCTCCTTTATTCCCAATCGAACATGGTTGAACAAGCGGTCACGTGCTCCTGCGTACACCAGTCACCTGGTCACCGTGCCTGCAGGGTACAACTTACTAGCCTGTTTGACCTTTTTTGGGTGCACTCCTGTCACTCGAGTTGAACTCGAGTTGAACCTTGGTGTGAAATTTGTCGCCTGCTGGCGTGGTGACCAGGTGATTTGGGCACCCAGGAGCACGTGACCGCTTGTTCAACCATGTTCGATTGGGAATAAAGGAGGAACGCTGCATCGCAGCCTTTTCGGACCAAAACCAGTCGACTCAGCGTCCAAAAGACTACAACATATGGGCCAATCGCGGTCATCCGTGCTTTTATAAGAACGAAATGGCGCTTTTAGTGACATTTTGCATACAAATCCCCATCTAGTAGGGCGCAGTCACCCAGTTTCGGTGGAAGTGCGCGAGTTCGATTGGGATTCAAGTAGGAAGGGAGCGTCGCAGCTTCCTCGGCCAAGACCATTCGACTCAGCACCCAGAAGACTACAACTGGTGAAAAATTGATTTTAGGGTATACTTCCCCTTTCAGTAGATCTACTATGGCCCTAGTGTGAGTGCATTTCATTTTGCTTTCCCCGGCCAACCTTGTTTTTTTGACGTTGGAAGAAAAAACACGCTACGTAATTATAAATTGAGCCACGCCACAACAAAAGGGTGCTTATAGCACGCGACATCAAACTGAGAAAAATTATGAAGGATAGACGTTTGAAAGTATTGTGTCTATGGCAAATGAGCATGTCATCAGTCCACCTTATCCTCCCTACCCCCCCCCCCCCCCCCCTCCACACACGCACCCAGAGTGCGCCAGATGCAGTGTGCTTTTCAGGTAATCAAAAGGGCAACGGGCGGTGGGGAGAGGAGCATAGACCAGTCAGCACCAGTGAACCTCTAGCACTAGTGTTGGAATGGCCTTGATTGCTTGTCTGCCCTGATCCGTCCTTGACCCCTTGCATAATCCGTATGTCCAGTTTTCCTATTCTATTTCATCCCGATAATTCTTACTGCTGCATGTCTTACCCCCCCCCCCCCCCACCCCAGCTTTCCCGCCCTTCATATGTTCCCCATACAATGCCATGAAGAGAGACCCACATGACCAGTTTCCGGCACTGAGCACAAGTGTGTGTGTGTGTGTGTGTGCGTGCGTGCGTGTGCGCTTGTTTGTATGTGTGTGCGTGCGTGTTGGTGCATGTGGTTGTGCTGGTGCATGTGGTTGTGCTGGTGCATGTGTTGTGTGTGTGTATGTGTGCGTGCGCACACATGTGTATATTTTGTGCGCATATGCGGTTGTGTGTGTGTGTGCGCACGTCGTGTGCATGTGTGCGTGTTCCTAGATAGACATTGGATGTCAAGATGTCTGTGCAGTACCTGATGGTGCCAGTCACACTGCTACTACTCGCCAGTTCACTGCTGCAGTCATCGGCACTCAAGCAGTGTGAACAAGCCTGGACAAATGGTGGCAAGGGTACGTTCAAGACCCGTGGTTGGTTTCACCCTCACTTCCTTGTATTGGCTATTTTCAGTATGTGCCATGAAGTGCAGACAGTAAATACACAAAATAGAAAATAAAGATGATGCAGAACATGTAGCACAAGCAATTTTGCTAATAACGATTGCGGATGTAACGACAATTCGCTAATAACGACTGCGGATGTAACGACAATTCGCTAATAACGACTGCGGATGTAACAACAATTCGCTAATAACGACTGCGGATGTAACGACAATTCGCTAATAACGACTGCGGATGTAACGACAATTCGCTAATAACGACTGCGGATGTAACAACAATTCGCTAATAACGACTGCCGATGTAACGACAATTCGCGAATAACGACAGAATTCCCATGTCCAGAGCAAAGTCCATTCTACCTGTATACATAGAATGAGACTTCGGGTATAAGGACACTTCTCAAATAAGGACGCTTTTCTGATGCCCCGCCGAGTGTCGTTGTACGCAAAGTCGACGGTAACTAAAACTGCGCCGGGTGATGTGCGGTGACCTTTTTCTCTCTTGTATAATCACTCTGTCATATTGCTCATCAAGAAATCTTTAGGATCTCGAGGTCAGTGATTTCCAGGCTGAGACTGTAGGAAATCAGTAAATTGTATGTAAACACATCGCACAGGCATCTATTGGCCTCTAGGGAGTCTCTCAAGTGATATTTGTTGATGCGTGTGACAAGTATTAACATTTCAAATCAGATTTGTGTACCTCTTTTTCCAGTTGGAAGGTATCAAAAATATTTTGCTGAGATTTGCCGAGGCGACTCGCCATCAGACCAAGATCTGTGTCCTGGAGATCACCCGGCGGAATGCTGCATGCACGAAGACTGCGACCGCGGAACTCGCTTTGCGGGCATGAAGTGCGGATGCCACTCCGGCTGCCAGCGCTTGGCATGCCAGTATGAACTAGGTGAGATCATGCAGTAGTGGCACGTACAGCCGCTGAGGCAGCCTGTAATGCCTGGATGCCGCTACGTGAGGCCAATGTCTCTGCATTGTTTTTCCTGAAAGTGTATTGTATACTACCTGGCCGGTAATGCAGGGACTTTAAAAAGGTAGAATGTTGCATGGCCGAAACTAGAGCAGGTGCACACAGTGTGTGTTGTGTCAAAGTCAGTGATCATGTGTCTTATGTGGTCCAGTCAATCAACTGTGACATTGATCCATACCATGTGTCCCCCTGAAAACATGTTAAGTACTCCCTTGATCCATATCATGTGTCCCCCTGAAAACATGTCAAGTACTCCCTTGATCCATACCATGTGTCCCCCTGAAAACATGTTTAGTACTCCCTTGATCCATACCATGTGTCCCCCTGAAAACATGTCAAGTACTCCCTTGATCCATACCATGTGTCCCCCTGAAAACATGTTTAGTACTCCCTTGATCCATACCATGTGTCCCCCTGAAAACCTTGTTTAGTACTCCCTTGATCCATACCCTGAAAACATGTTTAGTACTCCCTTGATCCATACCATGTGCATATTGTACAGTCCTGTATGTTCATCTGTGTTTGTCTGTCACAGTCATACAATCATGTACTCCTTTGAAGTATGTAAGCATCAGGATCATTGATAAAAACAACCAAACAAATTGGCCAAAAAAATATGAACAGCTGTGCATTTGCGTGCATCAGGCACTATAGCAGCGGCAGTGCCTGGCTGTGTGCATTGTGTCCTAGGAGTATTGCATACTTTGGGTTTCCATTGTGTTTGCTCTCTCAGACAGGGACTGCGATTACGTTACACACCCGAGGAATGGCAAGGTCAAGCGCCTCACCGACACACGCGTTCAAGTGGCTTGCGATACCGGGTTCATCGCCTACCCTCCGGATACGTTTGACAGGCACTGCAATCCACAGGAGAGCAAAGAGTGGCTGCCTAAAATCGAGTGTCGCAGTAAGTTCAAAACATAGTGACCTGCTTCTGCTTGCATCTGGATTCGTGTTTTGGCCTTGTTGCTCCACGGCAGACCCCGTAACGAATGCATAATGCTGATAGCTGTGGTGTCTTACTGTCTCTTCAAATACCTAAGAAAGTGCATGTGTTGCCCAATGGCAAACCCCGTAACGAATGCATGATGCTTATGGTTGTGGTGTCTTGCTGTCTGTTCGAATACCTAGGAAAGTGCAGGACCCCGCCTGGCTTTGCCTATTCCAATCGTCTCACCAAGGGGTCATCGTTCGCCGTTGGACAGACAGTGCAGTATTCATGCAAACCTGGCTACCTATTCCTACATGGCAAGGACCATGTCACTTGTCAGGAGAGAGATGGACGTGCACAGTGGACACGTATAACATGCCAGAGTAAGTGTGAATGGAAAGCCATCTGACTTGATAAGGGACGTTACAGTCAATTGAACAATCGTACTAGTATAATGAGAGTTCTGTGTACCAGAACACTCAAACGCCTCTTATCCGGACGGCTCAGATACGGGCACGTCTCTCTACCGGCCACCCTCAGCTTGAGTTCCTATGGCAAAAATGCTTCGAATTTGGGAGGGTTGAACTTTTTTTCCGAATGCGCAAGTGCTTATTTGTCACTGCCAACCTGTGTAATCCATACATTTTTATCCATGGATTATTTTTGTAACCTGAACATGTGCAATACGCACCAAAAAAACTTCTTCAAAAAATGATTATGATACATGGTAGATGAGTTATCCTGAGATACGGGCGAATCTGAGATACGGGCAGTGCCCGGTCCCAAGGTGCCCGGATAAGAGACGTCCGAGTGTACCAAGTTCACTACCCGAACAAGTGGTCAACTTCTTGCGTACCAAACACCATTTCAATAAAATAGGGCGACTGAAAACGTACGTGCTGCCTCCTGAGGTAGCTGTGCGAAGTGTTTTAGAAGTCCCGTTCCACGCATGCCTGAGGCCTGCAGCTTTTCAAACAGACCACAAGCCAGGTGTCTGTGAACGCCGCTTTCACCTGCATCGCAGAGCTGTCCGGTGTGTGTGTGTGTGTGTGTGTGTGTGCGTGCGTGCACGCGTGTGTGTGTGTGTGTGTGTGTGTGCATGTGTGTGTGTATGCGTATGTGTGTGTGTGCATGTATGTGTGTCTATGTATGTATGTATGTGTGTGTGTGTGCACATGTACACACAATTTGTGTGTGTGTGCGTGCGTGCGTTGTGTGTATGTGTGTGTGTGTGTGTGTGTGTGTGTGTGTGTGTGTGTGTGTGTGTGTGTGTGTGTGTGTGTGCACATTCACGTGTATGTTTGCATGAAAATGCACTGTAAAGTAGATGAAGTGACTTGAGCCGTATGAGCACCTTGATGTGCCGGAGAAGGAAGATACACAGAGGGTGACAACGGCAAATTTCTTGCCGACTGTGCAGATTGCTTAGAAAGTGTTCTAGCGTTCTCCTGCTGATATGTACCAGTATATTGATGGATCCGTATGGGTAGAAGGCCTTAGCTGTTCACACCGCTATGACAGTCATATTTCTCTGTATTCCGCTTTGTGTGTTGCCTGCACCAGTCCTGAAATGCCCCAAGATCTGGTCCAGCGATCCAAACCTTCTCGCCAGGCCGGCATCAGCGGACTCTTACAGGTCCGCTGTTCGGTTCAGCTGCCCGGCTGGCTTTGATCTGATTGGTACCCGTCAAGTACGATGCGATCTCGCGTCCGCAACCACTGTCGCTTGGAGCGGTTCTCCTCCCACGTGCAGAGGTAACTCCGAAATGCAAGTGTGCAATATTGCTTTTTTTGTTTTGAAAAGCATCTCATCAACGGTGTCTTTTCTAAATGTTTCCACCGAGCCTTGAGATGTTGTAATAAATAATAATAATACATACCGTACCATGTGTTTATCTTGCGGCTGGTAGCTCTTTGCAAGCCCTAGGAGATAAATTCCATCGCATATCTTCTCCGTATGGAGAGATGTCATGTACGTGCTCTATTTCGATCATGTGACCTGCTCTCTGAGCGCTTCCACATACTAGTAATTGTACTACACAACAAAGCGTTCTGTAATGTCTGTGATTGATGGGAGCAACTATCTGTTCTAAACTGCAATCCTTACAGAGAATTATGGCCCTGCTGGCTTTTGAAAGCCCGATTTTGGACAAATGCACCCCCTCCCACACACCTCCATACCAAGGTTAGGTTGCATTTGTTTGGTCATTCCAGAATAGGCATGGAATGCAGTCATGGACATGGGATGCAGTCGATACCCATCGCGGAATCGGAATGAGCGTAGCAAACAAACGCGCGCGCATGCACTCGGGAATATGGCAAAAAATTGCGCAACTCAGGAAACGACGGTCGAATGTTTTTTGTATATTACCTGTTGCTTTGTGGCTTTGCGAAGACTACCGGTAGTTGCGCTTTTGCTTCCGACTGTCGTACGTTGTGTGATGGTGCATATAGGCTCCGCAATGTACCAAGGCAATAGAATGTGCACTGTATGTGAAGGGAAGGCTGGTCATTTAAAACAATACACCTGAAACACCGACATTTTAATACAATGTCATATAAAGTTACATATTCTACTGTACATGTGGACACAACAGAGTCCCATGTGGATTACCACAGGCGTGACACGGCCAGCCGTCAACCCAACAGGCTCAAGGTCACTACTATCACCTTCGCTTTCGGAACAGGAGGGAGACGGAGATGATGACGTTGAAGCTGCAGAGGTCGAGCTTGAGAAGGTATCACGCTGTGCTTGCCTGCATCTTTTCTTCTTCTTCCCAGCCATGCTTTGCATCACCTTCAGGAATCTCATCATCACTGTCATTTTTTCTTTGTGTCTCTTCTTTTTTTTTTTTTGTATCCTCGCTTCACGCTCCTCGTGTCTATGTAGGAATTGACTGAATTCACTTCCTGCAAACACTTTCTGCTTTCTCACTCGTCTTTTTGAGGCGCCACTAGCAGACACTGACCTTTCGACAACTGGCTTTCTTTCTTTTACTGCGTCGGCCACAGCCATGTTTCCAGTGTCCGGGAAAGCTGGTGGTTACTTCGATGGTGTAGCAGCAGGTTCGCACTTAGAGATGACAATGCCAGGTCCAAGAAGAGGACTTGGAAAGTCATCGGTTGGGCTTATAAGCTCGATCGGAGATTCCGCCCTTGACTGGCCTGACGGTGTTGCCGACGTTGAAAGCAAAACTCCAGGGGACAAGGCACTAGCGCTGTCAACTAGAGAGACCGGAACAACGCAAGCCTTCTCACCACTCAGGTCCATGATATCGGCGTGGACAGGCGGCTCCCGTTTCTTTGCGCTCCCTGTTTCCTTCAAGCTGTCAAGGTACTTCTGCGACGAGGACTTTAGGCTCTTCCACCGATTGCTGCATTGAACAGGACTCGGCCAGGTAATTCATTGGCCATCGGCCTCGGAGTTTTGCAGCGATCTGTTGCCACAGGGTGACGTTTTTGAAACTGATATCTAGGAATTTCTCCCGGTACTCGGAGTAAATGGACAACAAGTCCTTGGTCAACTTCACCGACCGCGAAAACGCCTCGTTACTCGCCATCTGGAGGACCAATTACTCTGCATTTACTATTCTTCAGTCTTGTAGGTACTTGGTCCGCGTCAGCGATAATGTCGCTTATCTTTCAGCTTTGTTTATATATCGCCAAAGCTCACTTGGCAGCCCATTTCATCCCAATTTTTGGTTAGTAAGTTAGTTTACTAGTACCTGAAAGGTCTAGCTACAGTTCGAGTGGATTTCGAGAGCGACGGGTGGGTGATTCTGATTGATACAGCGCCGCATCAAAATAGATTATCTTATTACGCTGTGCAGGCAAGAGCAGCGCAAGCTACAAGAAAGTAATCGGCTACTCGGAATCAGCTCCATTTTGCCGAACGGCCGAGATCGCTCACCTCAGGGATCGCTCGTCAAGCTGAGATCTCAGCTCCCTTACCTCCAACTCAACGCTCGGAGTATCCAGCGCATCGTGGAGATTTGCAAGTACTATACGTGTCGTCGTCGTCGTTCAAAACAAAATCTTGCAAAGAACGGCGTCTGATTTGAACCACACAGGCTGTCGTACTGCCCACGCGAAGTCCTATAGAGAAGGCGACCGTCACGATCGACTTCTGTTTAGAAAACAGCCAGGCAGCGGAGAGGTAGAGAGATGAGCTTGCAAAAGCAAGAGAGGCGATCCCGAGCAAAAATATTTGTCACCAGCAACGAGAGCAGTGACGAGGAGGACCGAAAAAAGTAGGAACCCTTCCTTGGACAATAAATTCCTTACAGCTAGTTGTCATTCTATACCTTACCACCCATCGTGCCAAGTTTTATCACTTCTAGTGCACGCGTTCATGTCCAAAGTCTAAGTTCAAATTGTCGAAAGAGAAGCGACAATATTGCTGACGCGGACCAAGTACATATGCTAGGTGTTGATATGGTGCGTACAGTGAAACCTGTCTAAGGCGACTGCTCAAGGGACCTTCAAAACTTGGTCTCTGTTACCAGGTGGTCTCCTTATCCCGGGTCATTTGACTGGAAATAGCATGCCTTGGTCCTGGCTTTAGTGGTCTTTTAGGACAGGTGGTCGCCTTATCCAAGTGGTCGCCTTGACAGGTTTTGCTGTAGTAACACGTGCGATACTAGTCAATACTGGCATAATAATCTACTACCAACAGAAGCGTTACTGTTCCTCGCTCGTTCAGGCTCACTGATGTGACAATTCAGGCGTGGCGGCACAAACTTCCTACAAATAGATCTACAAGACAAAAGTGACACGAAAGGTCTTGTGGCACAAATCTTTCTAACAAGACACATTAGCGCACTGTGCATGTGATAGTGAGCTCCTGAGGTGACAGGTATACTAGGTCTGGCCTGGCTGCACAAACAAAGCCCCCGCTGTACCGGTGGCCGCAGCGCATTTTCATTCCGCTCGGAATGAGCTCTCATTCCACTTTTTTGTTGGAATCGTCAGAATCAATTCTGCCCGATCCATTCCGCGACCGGAATCAGAAGTGCACCAAACAAACGCTGTCGCGAGCATCGAACAAACGCACTGGAACGAAAACACGGCGGAATGGCTTTGGAATGGTGTCGAAATGGCACCGAACAAACGCAACCTAAAACTTGAAGAACCTGGGTTTGGGATCTATACCTGAAAAACAGTACTGACATACAGAACGAACTGTAAGCTTTTGTAAGCTTTCCCATTGATGTAACGTTAGTACATGTATCTTCAATGCCCACACCAGTCTATAAGAAGAAAGCAATGCATAGAACACAGTGTAGGATGTACGATTGTTTTCACTTCAAAGTTATCTGTTACTGTGAGTGTGAGAGAGCAACACCTTTCGGTGACTCTCCCACCAATCTTTCCTTTCCAAAGTAATACGGCTTGTGAATTTCTGCT